GAGCTATCTCAGAATTCAGTTCCTTTGGATGGAGTATTTAAACAATGATAAAGGAGCCATCATAGAATTCAGTTCCTTTGGATGAAGTATTTAAACAATGATAAAGGAGCCATCTTAGAATTCAGTTCCTTTTGATGGAGTATTTAAACAATGATAAAGGAGCCATCTTAGAATTCAGTTCCTTTGCATGAAGTATTTAAACAATGATAAAGGAGCCATCTTAGAACTCAGTTCCTTTGGATGGAGTATTTAAACAACGATAAAGGAGCCATTTTAGAATTCAGTTCCTTTGGATGGAATATTTAAACAATGATAAAAGAGCTATCTTAGAACTTAGTTCCTTTGGATGGAGTATTTAAACAACGATAAAGGAGCCATCTTAGAATTCAGTTCCTTTGGATGGAGTATTTAAACAACGATAAAGGAATTATCTTAGAATTCAGTTCCTTTGGATGGAGTATTTAAACAGCGATAAATGAGCTATCTTAGAATTCAGTTCCTTTGGATGGAGTATTTAAACAATAATAAAAGTGCTATCTTAGAACTCAGTTCCTTTGGATGGAGTATTTAAACAACGATAAAGGAGCTATCTTAGAATTCAGTTCCTTTGGATGGAGTATTTAAACAATGATAAAGGAGTTATTTCAGAATTCAGTTCCTTTGGATGGAGTATTTAAACCACGATAAAGGACCTATCTTAGAATTCAGTTCCTTTGGATGGAGTATTTAAACAATGATAAAGGAGCTATATTCAGTTCCTTTGGATGGAGTATTTAAACAATGATAAAGGAGCTATCTTAGAATTCAGTTCCTTTGGATGGAGTATTTAAACAACGATAAAGGAGCTATCTTAAAATTCAGTTCCTTTGGATGGAGAATTTAAACAATGATAAAGGAGCTATTTCAAAATTCAGTTCCTTTGGATGGAGCATTCAAACAACGATAAAGGAGCCATCATAGAATTCAGTTCCTTTGGATGGAGTATTTAAACAACGATAAAGGAGCTATCTCAGAATTCAGTTCCTTTGGATGGAGTATTTAAACAATGATGAAGGGGCCATCTTAGAATTCAGTTCTTTTGGATGGAGTATTTTAACAACGATAAAGGAGCCATCTTAGAATTCAGTTCCTTTGGATGGAGTATTTAAACAACGATAAAGGAGCTATCTTAAAATTCAGTTCCTTTGGATGGAGTATTTAAACAATGATAAAGGAGCCATCTTAGAATTCAGTTCCTTTGGATGGAGTATTTAAACAACGATAAAGGAGCTATCTTAGAATTCAGTTCCTTTGGATGGAGTATTTAAACAATGATGAAGGAGCCATCTTAGAATTCAGTTCCTTTGGATGGAGTATTTAAACAAAGATAAAGGAGCCATCTTAGAATTCAGTTCCTTTGGATGGAGTATTTAAACAACGATAAAGGAGCTATCTTAGAATTAAGTTCCTCTGGATGGAGTATTTAAACAATGATAAAAGAGCTATCTTAGAATTCAGTTCCTTTGGATGGAGTATTTAAACAATGATAAAGGAGTTATTTCAGAATTCAGTTCCTTTGGATGGAGTATTTAAACAACGATAAAGGAGCATTCAGTTCCTTTGGATGGAGTATTTAAACAACGATAAAGGAGTTATCTTAAAATTCAGTTCCTTTGGATGGAGTATTTAAACAACGATAAAGGAGCTATCTTAGAATTTTAACTTTGTTCGTTTTTAGTTTGAAAAGCTTCATGATAAGAAATCTGTACAGTGAAACCAGAATAAATCTGTAGAATAGAAAAACGCAAGATATTAGTTCAAAAGTTTAATGAAACGCAGCTACTAGTAAAACTATTTGCTTTTTACAATATTAAAAATACAGAAATATTTTTTTAGTTTTTGTCTTCCTGTTCTACAGTTTTTTTTACAGGGTATTCATAAAATAACATTTAATCTTGAGATCTTTATATTTAACAAGTTTTAGATCGTCATTCAAGGCTCATCCTTTGTTGGTATAACCCTGATTGTGTATATGTGTTTAAATTTAGCCAGACAAGATTCTTCTGTCGGAAATGTTTAATTTCCGCTGTACGATCTGTCTGTCTGTCTGTACGATCTGTCTGTCTGTCTGTACGTTATGTCTGAACAATATGAAGACTATTCCATTTATAAAAATGTAACTCTATCCAACCCACCAAACCAAGGATCGCATAAAATAGGGATAGAAAATTATTAGAATACAATGTAAAATGTTTTCAATCATAACTTCTCCGTATCAAAAGCTGCTACGAGGTCACAAAGTCGTACCAATAATTTGCATACAGTTTGCCATTCTGACGCACAAATCTCTCAGGATTTCACCAAATTCATCTTTAATACTAAAACTATGAACACGCACTTTTTAGCTTTTAAATCTTCATGTTCATTGCTACAAAAAAGGACAATGTAAAAGCAATAGTCAAGGCCTCTCAACACTTTAAAGTAAGCCCTGCTTTAAAAGTTTACGCAAAATTTTAATAGTAGTGTTGGTGATAGGAAGAATGCTATAATATCAAACAAATTAAAATTTTTGACTGATAAAGGGTTGAGAAAGGGTATCTATTCTTCCTTGATTTTAGCAATATCTTTCCTAAGTTTTACTATCCTTGATTTTCCATGGTTTATCCATGGTTATACAATCCTTGAATTTAGCACAATATCTATCCTTAGTTATAATATCCTTGATTCTAGCAGTACCAATCCTTTGTGTTCTACTTCTTTATTAAATGTTCAGCCATCTTAAGATACTAATATGATACATAACACCCCCATTTTACAAAAAAAACCGGCGCTGTACGAAACGTCTGCGATTTTCAAGAAATAAACCATTAAAGAAAAGAGATGTATAGATTACTAGAAATATGATTAGATTAAAAATTGACGAAAAATTAATAAGACTGGGGAGTAGACATATGTATAGATAAAAAATTGATAGATGACTAGATAGATAGATTAGAAAAAGATAAATGAATAAATTGACGACTGGAAAAAATAGATGAATAGACTAAAGAATAGATAAAGAGATCAAAAAACAGAGAAATGAATAGATTGACGACTAGAAAAAATAAATAGATGAATTAATTAACGAATAGATAAATACATTAAAAAATAGATAGATAGATAGATCGAAAAATAGATCGTCGATGAATAGAAGGACAGATAAATTTAGCAAATGACGTTTATCTGAATAAAGATTGTGTTAGATAATCTTATAGTGAGAGTAATTAGTCCTACTCCAGGTTCTAATTATTGAACGTCAGAGAAAATTGTGGATAATTAGGAATTTGCGTCCTAGTCTTATAATCATTACTGTTCCACATTTTCCTACCTTCAACATCATTATACCAGGTAGAGAGTCTTTCTCAGGGTGTTCCTTTTATACCAGGGTTCCTTTCATACCAGGGTTCCTTTCATACCAGGTTCCTTTTATACCAGGGTTCCTTTCATACCAGGTTCCTTTTATATCAGGGTTCCTTTAATACCAGGTCCTTTTATACTAGGGTTCCTTTTAAACCAGGGTTCCTTTTATACTAGAGTTCCATTTATACCAGGTTCCTTTTATACCATGGTTCCTTTTATACCAGGTTCCTTTCATACCAGGTTCCTTTTATACCAGGGTTCCTTTCATACCAGGTTCCTTTTTTACTAAGGTTCCTTTCATACCAGGTTCCTTTTATATCAGGGTTCCTTTCATACCAGGTTCCTTTTATTCTAGGGTTCCTTTTAAATCAGGGTTCCTTTTATACTAGAGTTCCATTTATACCAGGTTCCTTCTATACCAGGGTTCCTTTTTATACCAGGTTCCTTTTATACTAGGGTTCCTTTCATAGAAGGTTCCTTTTATACTAGTGTTCCTTTTATACCAGGTTCCTTTTATACCGGGTTCCTTTTATAGCAGGTTCCTTTTATACTAGTGTTCCTTTTATACCAGTGTTCCTTTTATACCAGGTTCCTTTCAAACTACTAGGGTTCCTTTCATACCAGATTCCTTTTATACCAGGGTTCCTTTCATACCAGGTTCCTTTTATACCAGGGTTCCTTTCATACCAGGTTCCTTTTATACCAGGATTCCTTTTATAGCAGGTTCCTTTTATACCGAGTTCCTTTTATAGCAGGTTCCTTTTATATCTGGGTTAGTTTTATACCAGATTTCTTTTATATCTCGGTTCGTTTTGCCAGGTTTCTTTTATATCTCGGTTCGTTTTACCAAGTTTCTTTTATATCTCGGTTCGTTTTACCAATAATGATTAACAATAATGGTTGACAATAATGGTTGACAATAATGATTGACAATAATGTTGACAATAATGGTTGACAATAATGATTAACAATAATGGTTGACAATAATGGTTGACAATAATGGTTGACAATAATGGTTGAAAATAATGGTTTACAAAATGGTTGACAATAATGGTTGACAATAATGGTTGACAATAATGGTTGACAATAATGTTGACAATAATGGTTGACAATAATGGTTGACAAAATGGTTGACAATAATGGTTGACAATCACGTCAAACTAAAGTAAATTGCAAGTAATCTTGAACTATTTTATGTTTTCAACAATAGTTCCTCTTATTAAAGAGATATTGAGAAGAAAATGAAAAACCACATAAATTAGTTTTTCTCATACTTGTGTATAAATCAGAGGAGCTACGAGGTGGTAGCAGTAATGTCGCAGACATTTTACCTTCTCTTTCTGTCTAGTTGACAATACATTAATGGTTGACAATAATGTAATTGTTTGATTATTAAGCTCTGCAGTCTATCAAGGTTTGATGAAATGTCTATGAATTGAAGTATATGTAAGTACTCATGCTTATTAGCTGAACCGCGCCCATGTTACACGATCACCCCCCTCATGTAAGCGCGTAAAATGTTGGCAAGTGCTCCGGACAGGGGGGCCGCGGGGCGCGCCGGGGGTTTCATACAAGCGCCGCGCTTCGGAGATTTGAACAGGTGGAATCAGTTGTTCGCGAGACTTACGGTCAGACACTGAACTCCCGCGGCAATCTTTAATTTTGTTCTGTTAACTCTTGTTAACTGTAAACAAGAAAAAATACCGGAAGTACAAAATCTGCTTACTTTATGTATTACAATATCGCAGTACTGTACAATTACCTACAGTGATAGGACTTGATTAAGTGTATAGGACGTCTACGTCTGAATAGTTCTGAGCAGAATTCCGTCCTACAGACGTCCTAGCTCTTGATGCAACTTATAGCAGAGAACAGGATGACCGCTATGGAGGTATTTGTTTTGTTTTTTTAAATAACTTCCGCAACCTTGTGAGCAATGATGACGGAAGTAACTGTGTTTTAACCCTAAAATGAATAATTATCTCCCGGCATTTTTTAAGGCGGCTTGTAAATATTTAAGAAAAATATATATCCCATTACAAAAATACAATTGGTATCAAGAAACCAACCAGTAAAAAAGTTTAGATAGATTTGAGGTTTTGTTTTTAAATAATTATATACAGTTTGAAATAAAATCAACTTTGTAATCCCAATTTCTTTGCAACCCGATGTTTAGATATTTTATATTTCAAACTATGAATTCTGATGCACACCAACAGATTGCAAAGACATTAGAAAATTTAAGTGTATGTCAAAAACTTAGTTCCTGTGAATTAAAAATTCTAGTTCGTACCTTATTAAAAAAGAGAACTAAGGAGCGTAGAAACATTCTTAAAACCTATATCTTCAATGTAAATCTATTTATTTGAATGATTTTCGATTTCTCTCTTTTAGCATACAATAAAACAGTACGAATTGGTTCCAGGAATGTTTTGCACTTTTCATGAATATTCAGATAACTTAATCTTTAAAGAGACTGTACACGTAATTCTAAGTGAAATTCAAAGAGGCGTATGCCCAATTCACAAGGGTACCCTTTAAACCTTCGGCAAAACAAAAAGGGTACTGTTGTGAATCAGGAATGCCCTGTCATGGAGGGTTACTTGAAAATAAAACGACAATCCTTTTAATTGGTCTGCAACAAATGTTTTTGCATAATGTACTTGCTACGTGTTTCTGATCTAAATGTTAATCAGCTCAATATATTTAAAATTGACACTAACTTAAAGTGCTTTTAACAAGGTAGTTTTTTTAATCTCTTATCTTTAGTCCTTTGAATTTCACAATCAATGTATGATTTAATATCTTGATCAAATATCTTGATCAACACTTGATTGATCCTGGCTGAGTTTGATTAATTAAAAAAAATTGTAATATTTAATTGATTAAAAATGTTTATTGATGTTTTTGTCACAAACTCAAATTTTTTATTTAATACTATCTTAGCAACGTAATATTTCAAGCAAATAAGTTTATAAAAATGCCGCAAATAATTTTTATTTTTGGGACTCTTAGTAATTATAAAATAGAGTTGTCTAACTTTGAATGCACAATCGAAAAAATTACAACTTTATAACAATGGCAAAGTTTATTTAAAGTTTTAGTTTTAAATAAAACCGTAATTTCCCCCTCCTTTTCCAACCTTTTCCCCCACCCCTTCTTAATTCTCTTCCTTTTATGCTTTTTATCCTTACTTCTTTTCATCTTTATTTCCCCATACTCCTTGTTATATTCTAGCGCTAAGAGATCCAGCTAGACAGCTATGGAAATTGTGCATCAATTTTTATGACTGGGTCCACTTTTCACTTTAACTTTCACTATGTCAAATTTTTGTAGCTCTAGACATGACAATTAAATTGCTACAACCAGTTCTTTCTAGCTTAAAGTTGAAAAAGAAGTAATTGAAAAAATGCCGATAAAGGAATTGAGTTTTTGTACAAAACTAAAATTTGCTAATCCCATCTTTGCAACCTGATGGTTTAAACGTTTTATTTTTCTAACTGGGGTTTTTTTGAAAAGATATAGGACCAAAAAATAAGAGTTTAAGCCAAAAACTCAATACCTTTTGCATGAGAGCATGTATATTTTAGATCAATGTGTCATTGAAGAGGCATGATTGCAAATTTTAATTCGATCCAATGTTTCTGTAAAGAGATATTTATTAAAACGTTTTCTAAGGAACACAAAATTAGTCAGAAACAGTATTTTCTTCAGGACACTTTTCTGGTATTTTGCTAGTTTTCTTGACCATGCTTCGGACAGTAAACCAACTCATCTTTTAATCATTCATCTGTATCTTAACAACAATTTTCATTCATTCTGTTTTATTCATGAGTTCTCAATCTCTTCCTGGCTTCTTTTTCTTTCTTTATATTCCCCTTCATCTGAGAATAAAAATAGATCAAAGAAGAATTTTTCAAACCTTCGAATTTAATCTAGTTTGTATTGATTTTTAACGCTAAACTAGTTTCAAATAAACCAATCCTTGTATCGTTCACTAAAAACAAAGTTGAAAATAACTTTCAAAAAAATCTGTAAAATCTTAACAAATTTGTTTGAAGTCGAAAACCTACGAGTAATAAAATTTTCATATTACTCATGTATTCTAAATCGTCCATACATCGACTATGGTAACGTTGCTTATTGCAATCTATCGATTGCAATGACAAGTTGGGGCTGGAATCCTGGTGTCAATTTGTTTAAAGGAAATGAGGGTTTGAAACCCCCGCTGGGTTCAACGTAAAATATCGACTAAAATATCCCATATATAAACCACTGTGATTTCCGGCCAATTCTTTCATAATTGTCTTGAAAGTTTGACATTGTAATTGTCAGGTACAGGGTGTCCCATAAAAAATTGGTCTTTGATCCAATCGGCATTTAATGATGGGAAATTATCAGTCTTGGTATTTTAAAAGCATGATAAGTTATCTTTCTACATTTAAAGGTATATTCCTAGAGAACGATTTTTGGACCCCCCCTCAAGCCCCCCCCCCTCCTATCAAATTTGTGCATGGATCTTAAATGACATGAATCTTAAATGTAAGACATGTGGCCGCAGCGCTCGGCCCCCTAGCCTGTACTAGCCGCAGCGCTCGGCCCCCTAGCCTGTACTAGCCGCAGCGCTCGGCCCATAAAGTGTCTTAACCTAACCTAACCCTAAATAATGCTAAATAAAAACTAATTTGGTCATAAACAAAATTGATAGGGGGGGGGGGGGGGGCTCGGGAGGGGTCCAAAAATCGTTCACTAAGACAGACCCTATTTAAAATAGAACATTATCAGATGCACTCTAAGCATATTCTTCAAATATACAAATTAAAGTTTATGTTCCACTTTTTATTTGGACACTCTGTAAGTTGCCAGTGTATAATTCACATTAAAGCGGCTCATTTCCGTACATTTAGATATTTAACAATTTTAATTGCATTGGATTGAGTTGATATTCCTCTGTCAGAGTTGGAATTATCCCACGTCAGTCTTAAGCAACAAAACTTATAAAATATTTGCGAGTTCATATTTTTCATCGGTTTTTCTTTTGTATCCTTGTATCCCTGTATCACTGTATCCTTGTATCCTTGTGCTCTTGTATTCTTGTGTCCTTGTATCCTTGTATCCTTGTACTCTTGTATCCTTGTATCCTTGTATCCTTGTATCCTTGTATCCTTGTACTCTTGTATCCTTGTATCCTTGTATCCTTGTATCCTTGTATCCTTGTATCCTTGTATCCTTGTATCCTTGTATCCTTGTATCCTTGTATCCTTGTATCCTTGTATAACTTAACACAGAGGTCCTAATCAGGTTAGATCGGTACCCAGAGTCCGGACAAGATAAGGTTCTACGAATGGAAAATATGTTGAACTGATTGTAAAGAACTGAAAGATTCTGGGAAGTTTACCAACATTTTGCCCGAACTCAGGGAAATTATATGATATCCAGCAATTCTTTCAACTCTGAGAAAAGAAGTGTAGAAAAGTTTTCAATCTGAAGATTAAAATCAGATTTCCTTGAAACCACTTACAGTCTGAAAGGTGTATTGAATGGTATGCATGCACCCCAACTTGTATCTCTGAATATGATCTGTAAATCTTTGAGCAAAGAGAAGAAAAAAACCCAGCTCCCACATTCAACCTCTCCGGGTGGTCCCGGAAACATGCTCTTAATAGACTCGGAGATTCCGACGTGTGGCAGGATTGGTGGATTTACCGAACCGTGGCAGTTTTCCCGGATTTAGAGGAGGAGTTTCTCCTCCAACCGGAACCATTGATTTTCCTTGTGAACCATTGCCTCGTGCCAAAGTTCTAGATTTCATTCAATTTTCTCAACTTTTATTAAACATAAAATCATTCTCTCTCTGGGTTTTAGTAACCATAAAACAGAGTAATTTTATCTCTCGGCTTGCCCCAGTCTATAACAAGAGTAACGTGTTCGTTTATACACAAGAAATCAATTTATTTAAAGATTTGATTGTGGTTCATGACGCATATGTGCGGTTCAGGAGATATATCAAGTTTTATTTGCAATAAAGGTTGATGATTAAACCCCAGAACTGGGTTCAGTTGCGTGATCCACCAATCTTAGAACCAAAATATTTCAAGTCTCGGAGATAAAATAAATTTTATTAGAAAAATACCGAGGTTTCAACAAGTTTGTTCCGTTAACGAGATCAAGGGCAGTGAATCCTTATTCTTAACTGGTGTTGGGGCTCGTTAACGAAGCAAATGATTGGACTCGTGTTACCATTTTCTCATCTCTTTGAGGATGCCTTTTGGTATTGTGAAAAATAGTACAACTTTTTGAAAATTCAAAACTTCTCAGATCTTTATGTAACCTTTGATATTATAAACCAATAGAACCCTTCAAATCAAAGTAATTGAATTCCTACTTATTAGTTCATTTAAATGGGGTTATAACTTTAATCTATCTATATAATCAATACTTTTAAAGTTACTTTATTGAATATATTAAAAAGATTATAATGATATGGTAAACATTATTTTTTAAACCCTCCTCCCCACTCGTCAACTTTCAACCCCCTCCCTACATCAACTATTAACAATATGAGAGATAGTTTAGAGTGATAAAATAATGCATACTCTAGATGAACATGAGAGAAACTGACTACTTGCCTCAAACTCCAATTTTTTAATTTTCTTATATCTTCGCAACCTTTGATATTATAGTAAATCTAATGTTTTGAATAAGAAATTCTTCTAGATCAAATAGTTAAAGTTTTAAGTATGGTTTACCCATCAAGTTGTGAAGATGTAGGGATGATCAAATTTAAGTTTGAGTTATGTAATCAGTTCCACTATAAATATTAGTGTGGACATGAACCTTACGTAATTTCTATTCTTGACAAAATCCACAAAATTTGCGTTTTCCGGCTAGGATTTAAGACTGGGAGAATATGTATCTCCTCTTTAGACCATGTTAATACAGCCTAGATTAATTACAGGCTGAGACTTGTTGAAATATTTACATTTTTTTGGCGCCAAGTGGGAATTTTTCAGGTGCATAATGCAAAATGCATCTGTAAAAGGATAATTAGATTTAGAATAATAAAAACATAATATTCAACGTAGACACATTTTTAATCTTGCATTATGAACTTTAAAACATGTAAAACATTTTACCAAGAAAAGTTTAGAAATGAATCTTGAAAGATTTGTGTACAGCCAACGTGTACTGCAGTTGTGGGAATAATGTAAACAAAATAAAGAAACTGATAACTCTCTTCAGTCTCTTGATTTCCTATAGAACTTTGATAAAAATATTCTTAGTTTGAAATAGTAAGGGTTCACACCATCAGGTTGCAAAGAATAATGAATATTGAATTTTAGGCGAGTAATCAGTTCATTTTGAGAACTTAATGTAAACAAAAATATTACAAAAAAAATATTTTTTTCATTTTGGTTTGTTTTAGGAGAGAGTTAACAGTTTTCCTCCAGCTTCAAGAACTCCTGAGTTTCAACCCCCATACTTCCCTCCACCCTTCTCCAGTAACATGAGTTTACAGCAGCAGGACGTTTTCAGCTCATCAACCCTACAGACTCTACAGAGCCCTGATCCTTACCAGATATCCCTTCATTCTTTCAATATAAATCAGGTAGATAGATAGATCAACTAGATCAACTAGATCAACTAGATCAACTAGATCAACTAGGTTAACTAGATCAACTAGATCAACTAGATCAACTAGATCAACCTGATCAACCTGATCAACTAGATCAAAAGGATCAACTAGATCAACTAAATCAATTATATCAACTATATCAACTAGATCAACTAGATCAACTAGATCAACTAGATCAACTAGATCAACTAGATCAACTAGATCAACTAGATCAACTATTCAACTAGATCAACTAGATCAACTAGATCAACTAGATCAACTAGATCAACTAGATCAACTAGATCAACTAGATCAACTAGATCAACTAGATCAACATATCTCTTTCGTTGCCAAATCAAAATCTCAGTTAAGGTATTAATTATTGTTTGTTTTGAAATGCAAAGACGAAAAGTATCCTTAAACTTGTAAATTAACAGAATTTATGGTCGTCTTTGAATTCTTAATCTGTTATGGATAATCCCGTAAAGGATCTGAGTTTTTGCCACAAATTATGATTTTACAATCACTATATCTTTTCAACCTGATGGTGTAAATCTTTGATATTTAAAACTATCATTATTTGATCTAAAATAATTCATAGTATAGTTTGAAATATCTAAGGTCTCCGACATTCAAAAGCAAAGATATTGGGATAAGAAAATAAGAGTTTGTGACAAAAACTCAATTCCTTTATATATAAATATGAATATATAGATGTTATAGATGTTTGGTACTTTCACAAAGAATTTTTCCCAAGCGGCAACTTCCCAAAGTACTTGGGAAGTTGCCGCTTGATAAGTGCACATTTGGGAAGTTGGCACTTGGGAAAATACCCTTGGGAAGTTGCCACTTTGGGAAAGTACCTAACACCAATATATATATGTTTATAATCTTATAATAACTGCCGCCGGACCATATGTGGGGCGGGTGTGGGAATATCAGTTAGCCGCTAGGCACTGTCAGGCCGCCATAGGGGATACAGGCATAGGTAGATAGATAGATAGATATTTATTTATTTGTCTATCCATTTATCTATTTAAATATTTATATATATATATATGCTCAAAGAATTCTGACTACTGAGAATCGTCACGGGGCGTGAAATATTATGTTTAGTATTATTCTTTTTAATAAAATGTGAAGTAAACTGAAATATTAGATAGATAGATAGTTAGATAGATATAAATAGATTGTAGATGGGAGAAACGTTTGAACAGTATTCAAAAAAGGATCTCAAATGAACGTTTTGAAGATTAAAAAGGGGGAATAGGGGAGGGATGGAGGAGGGGGAATGGATAAGATGGCTAGGAAAGGGGGTGGGGGTGTAAGAATTGACAGTAAGAGAGAGGGGAAAATAGGATTCAAGTGCACACTATTTACTTTTAGGATAAACCCCCTCTTCATTTCAATTTAGTTGATAGATAGATAGATAGATAGATAGATAGATAGATAGATAGATAGATAGATAGATAGATAAATAGATAGATAGATAGATAATAGATAGAAAGATAGATAAATGGATAGGAAATTTCAATTTTATCTGAAATTAACACATTTTCACGAGTATCCTAAAATATGCCTAATGAGTTAACGGGATTAAAATAGCCTGTAAAATAATTCAACTGATTGTGAATAACGGTTTTTTAACTCATCTCTCTAAGGTGTTAAATACATTAGACTCGGCCAGGAAAATATAAGAAATTTAAAAAAAAAATGTTGTAACGTAAAATAAATAGACTTTGAAAGTTTTAATTTCAAGTGAAATTTCATTTAAAGAAGGGCACAAAACGGAACCCTTCACACGTTTATCAGATCAATAATGTGGAAAAAATATCATATTTTTTTCTGGCTTGAAAAGTTTTTTTTCTGTTGCAGAAATCTGTAATTAACTGTAAAAGAGAATCCTCAATAGAAAATTATCAATTTTTAAAGTTGAAAACATGGATATCTTATTCTTTCTGTATCACACAAAGCTTTCAACGCACGCACCTCTGACCCTTTAGTAAAAGTAAATTCAACCTAAAGTCTGACCGCGTCAACCTTGTTGCGCGGGCTAGTCCTGTCCATAGAGCTAGGTACAGTACAAACTGGGACCGGAAAGGTTGACCCGGCTCGGAAATTCAAATGTACTACGGCTGCCCGTGAATCTCTGAAAGGAGGGTCACTTGAACTAACATCTACAGAGTACAATCCCATTAAACCTATATTTAGTGTTGGATTAGAACCGGATGAGCAGGGTATTACCAATACTAGAATTGAAGGGTTCAACTTCAACTTGATCTCAAGGGTTGCATGGTCTGCATAATATTCTTTGTCTAGGTCGGGATAAATACAGGAAACCAACCCTTCTCCTATGAGAACCTGAGACGGGAGTATACTCGTCTTGAACCTGACACCATGAGTCATAGTTTATCCCCGGAGCAGGTTAGTTTTATGTTTATTGTCTTAAACTTTTGTTTTTCTATATAGTAAAGTTCTTCGCTCATATATATTTATGTCGATTTTAGCTGGCCAAACAGCTAGACCTAATGGGATGACATTTTTTTAGGAAACCCATGGGTACCCGAGGGGTAACATAGGCCAACATTTTTTTTTCAAAAATCGATATTTTTCTTCAAAATTCATAGTATTAAATATTATTTTAAGGGTTTATAACGTTTTTTCACTCTAGTTCTATAATCATTATTTGTTATCTGTACAATGGTACAGTTTATTGAGTCCCACTGTAATATCCGTGTTGAAGGAAACAGTATAAATCCCAATGTTGAGTTCATTGAGTTCAAGAAACCGCCTTAGGTCAAAGTTACATTCTCCCATTCAACCGCCTGAGGAAAGTTAAGGGAGTTAAGGTCAAACTTCCATTCTCCCATTCTTTCATTTTTCCTCCGGCACTTTGCTCTCCCCTCGGCCAGTTATCTGCCTCTAGGGCGGAGCCCTCCGGCGTCCAGGTCTCCTGAGGCGGAGTTCTTCCCTGGGGCAGAGATGATGAGATGTGTGTGACAAGTTCTCCGGGGTTACCGGGATATCCTATTTTTCCTCGGGCTCATCTTCTCAGCCCTCAATCTTGAACACAGAGAACTTTGAACAAACCAGACTTGTAGGATTTAAACATTCCGCGGGTTTTTAACATATTATCGTTTTCTTGGAAACATTTGGCAACTCTTCATACTTTAGTGATTATTAAACAAATTGTAAACACGCAAATGTAATTTTTTGAAACATTGAAACATCTATAGGTTAAAATGATTATTGTCCATTTTGATATTCTTATCACATTTTTAAATCTAATATGTATAATCGAATTATTCAAATTGCAGATTCATCAACTAATGTATCCATTTTATCAATCTATTCAAAATAAAACACACTGATACACACATTGTCAAGTTTAAAATTCGCATTTCATAGCTTGTATGTATCATGAAAATTTCTTTTTTTAAATAAAAAAGTGTAATTAGGAGTTTTCATTTTCGATGATTTTGAAGATTTCGTTTTCTGAAATACATGCAATAATGTTTCAATGAATCAAAATATAGCTTTTAGGTCCAGATAAAAAACTGGGTCAGAAGGGAGCAAAGAAGAAAAAAGTCCGTGGATAATGGACTAGTTTTTAGTTTTGAACTCTTTGAAGTTTGCGCAGGGAAAATGGGTGCGGGGGGGGAGGAGATATTTTTATTCTTAAAATAAAATTTTTGCATGTTCTCCAAATTGCAGCAGATTGTAGACTATAGATTGTGGACGGCCTAAATTACATTTAAACACTTAATTATCTTAAATTGATCGAAGATTAGTCGAAATTGATCGGAGAGCGATCGGCCATTGGTTCAGAAATCATCTTATCCTCTTATCTTTTACCTAAACCTAATGGAGTCAGTCTTCAAACCTTAATTCTTTACTTTCACATCAAAATATAGATAATCCCGCGCCTTAAAGGGATCGTGGACGTAATATCAAGTTGACCTGCAGTTAGAAGAGTGATATGTCCGATCCACAAAGTACCTTATAAGCCTCTATCTGAGTAACAGTAAGGAAGATATCGTCTAGAAACATGTTGAATTCTTTAAGTTTTCTTCCTTGTCTCAATAACATAAATCCTGCACAATAGGCCATACAATAATGATTTTTCGAGAGAAAAGAAGGATGACTCGTTCATCCTTGATTCGACAAAGATTTTCACGGGGTACCGTTGGGAATCGCCCATGACCCTCTACAAATGGACGTTAACATGAAATTACGTTTACAGTCCCTTTAATCTTGACATTTTGTATAATTCCAGATTTGAAATAAAACATCAGAATTTGACACTTGTAAATCTCCATCCTAATCCTTAAATCTGGGATATATCATGAAATACAAGACAGGGATTAGAGTTTCTATATTTGCAACAACATGTAAACTAATCACTGTCCCTATAATCCCCTCGTCATAACTATAGGACTGTTCACTCATTATGAAAGGGGATATTGGAAGAAAAATAAAGAAAATGCCCCATTTTTAAACTTTGAGAGATATCTATTTTTTATTTAATTCCAACATATAAAAATCTAGAACTATTAACATCTGTTTCCTTATCTGAGCAAAATCTAATTTCTTTGCAAAAAAGAAATAAAATTTAATTCTAATTTTAGGAACCTCAGATGGATGAAGAACAAGGAATTTTCCCAGTTATACGAGCCAGGGATACAAACTCTAAAGAAAACCATCTTCTCTCAACCCTTCCCACAGATATCTTTTGTTCTACTCCTGGTAGGCTCTCCCTTCTCTCCTCAACCTCTAAGTACAAGGTCACCATAGCTGAGGTTCAGAGAAGACTCTCTCCTCCGGAGTGTCTCAATGCGTCCCTGCTGGGAGGAGTTCTCCGTCGAGCCAAGTCCAAGGACGGAGGAAAGGTTTTGAGGGATAAATTGGAGAAAATAGGGATGAGTTTGCCTGCTGGGAGAAGGAAGGCTGCCAACGTGACCCTGCTGACATCCCTGGTGGAGGGGGAGGCGATCCACCTGGCCAGGGACTTCGGGTACGTGTGTGAGACAGAGTTCCCAGCCCGGCAGGTTGCGGAGTATCTCTCCAGACCCCATCAAGAGGCATCAGATCAATACAGAAGAAAGGATCTCATCATGGCAACAAAGTAAGAGATAATTCTTGATTTAAAAAAATATATATTTTAGAAAATAGATTGGATTTAATTTTTTATATTCTTAGGGTGATCACAAAAGAGCTAATGGACCTGTTAAACCAGGATAGATCTCCTCTCTGCAACACCAGACCCCAACCTATCCTAGATCCTAGTATACAGAGACATCTAACCCATTTCTCAATGATTACACACGGGTTTGGTTCTCCAGCTATAGTTGCATCCCTCACCGCTATCCAGGTACTTATCAGAACACATCATATATCTCAGCATCTGTTGGTTTAATTCTTATCACGTTCTAATCCATGATTCATGGCGAGCATGTTTAATCTTCAATAGACTTCCCAACCACCGTTAATATTAAACTCTGGTTACAAATTCAAAAAGAAATTTCTCTGAATTCATTAAAATTCTTATTTTCTTATCTTATCTTATCTTATTTTATCTTATCTTAACTAATCGTATCTTATCTTATTTTATCTTATCTTATCTTATCTTATCTTATCTCATCTCATCCCATCTCATCTCATCTTATCTTATCTTATCTTATCTTATCTTATCTTATCTTATCTTATCTTATATTATCTTATCTTATCTTATCTTATCTTATCTTATCTTTTCTTATCTTATCTTATCTCATCTCAACTCATCTCATCTCATCTTATCTTATCTTATCTTATCTTATCTTATCTTATCTTATCTTATCTTATCTTATCTTATATTATATTATCTTATCTTATCTTATCTTATCTTATCTTATCTTATCTTATCTTATCTTATCTTATCTTATCTTATCTTATCTTATCTTATCTTATCTTATCTATGTTTAGAACTACCTGAACGAGAGTATGAAGCTCCTGGAGAAATCCTATCCTCCTTCATCTTACGGCATCGACTCCAAACCTATCCATATAGACTCCAAGATCCTTATAAACCATACATTGGATAAAAAGTAGAATATTTTGTACATAAAAAATTTAGTCCTTGGACCCATTGTACATATGTAAGTACAGTATAGTACACCACCTGACCAGTGCTCAATTCATGCAGTCTCTTCTATGTACAAATAGTACAACAATATGTATATGTAAATTGTTCTTCATAAATTATCCATAACACAAATGGATCTGTTATGCTAGCTAAAATCTTGCCAATTGTACAATAGATTCCAGAAGGGATAAATTATAAAGTTCTTTTTTTTTGCTTAAATCTCTGCTGAAATTTTCTTCTATAAGTCTTCCATCTGTTTCATTATTATTTTCATTATTATTATTATTATCATTTCAATATATATTTGCATGAATAAATAATGTCTTTTAGAGTTAAAACAAATTATTTTAGAGGTAGTAGAGTAAAGATGTTTGGAGAACCAATTAAAGAAAAATTCGGTCTAGTAATAAATGTACGACGAATCTACTAATGTTTTTACACAGGGTGTCCCACAAAACATGACAATAGGAAGACGACTTGAAAGTCGTCTTTGGTATTTGAATTTATTTGTGACATTTAATCTTCTATCTACTTTAACGTGCATGATTCTTGAAACAATTATCACATAATTCTCCTAGCCTTGGCATTACAAAAAAGTGGTCTGCGTTTTTTGTGCTTTCAATATTACCGGAGATATAAAGAGTTTGGTTCAGATTTCAATTTTGTTAAATAAAAGCAAAATTGTCGAAATTTGAACGAAATTCTTCATATCTCAGGCAATATTGAAAGCACAAAAAAGGCAGACCACATTTTGGAAATGGCAGGACAAGGGAAATTTTGTGATTATTATCTCTAGAAATTTACTTCTAAAATTAGATTGACAAATAAACGCAGCAAATTATATCAAAAATCAAGACGACATTCAAGTCGTCCTGCAGACTGTCATGTTTCGTGGGACACCCTGTATGTTCGACATCTATATATACAGGTTGAGATTTCAGAGCTGACTGTACAAACTTTACTGTCCGTTTCCTTATATTCACAGTTCTTTGCAACTATAAACCTATTTCTTTCTTTGATAATGAAATGAGCCATTAAAGGACTTTATATTCAAAACATTCCATTATCAGAAAGTGAAGAATACGACATTTGATGAATGCTTTTGATGTAACTGTACATATATTGTGTATTGATTATACATGCACTCAGTATTAAGAACTAAAATTATATGTTAAGCATAACAACATGTACTCAGTATACACTGAACTAAGACAATTATTAAGTATAAGTGTACTGTTTATTGAGAACTTAGAACATATGTTAAGTATAAGTATACTAAGTATTGAGAACTTAGTTCATATACCAAGTATAAGTGTACTGTGTATTGAGAACTAAGTATACATACCTTAAGTATAAGCGTTCTTGGTATTAAGATTTAAGCACATATTTTAATAGTAAAAGTGTACTAAGTATTGAAAATTAAGAACATTTTAATGAGTAATAAGTGTATATACATGAAATAAATGTTATAAGTGTACTGAGCATTGTGCACAAAATTGTAATGAGTATTGAGAACTAAGTACATAAATTAAGTATAAATGTATTGTGTACTGTGAACATAATTTTGAACTAAGTGCGTACATTGAGTATAGACTTTTAATGAGTATTGAGAACTAAATACATATATTGCGTTTAAGTGTACTGAGTATTGTGAACTGAGTATAAGTGTACTTAGATTAAGAACTGGGTACACATATATTAAGTATAGGTGTACTGGGTATTGAAAACTAAATACATATTCATTGATTATAAGAGTACTATCTATTGAGAACGCAGTATAAATATTGAGCGTAAGAATACTGGGTATTGAGAACTGAGTACACATATGTAAAGTATAAATGTACTGGGATCATAAGAACTTATCACACATTTATTAAGTTTAAGTGTACTGGGTATTGCAAACACATATATTAAATACAGGAGTACTGACTACATATATTGTGTATGGAGTATAAAGTGTACTGGGTATTGAGTACGCATATATTAAGAAAAGGAGCACTGAGTACATATATTGTATATGGAGTATTAAGTGTACTGAATATTGAGTACACATATATTAAGTACACAAATTGAGTACAAATTCGGTTTATATTATATATATATATGTCATTGTTAGTTAGTTGGTAGCAGGTAGTGTAACAGCACCCAATTATTAACAGTATTAATAAATCATGGTTTGGCATTTCCAATTTTCTTGAAGATAATCACTCCTGCCATACCAAACCCAACATGCCAAACCAAACTTGTTTTATAATTATAATCAAACCAACAGGCCTTACACAAATAGTATTGAACAAAAGCAATCAAGATTAGTTTCAAATTTTACACTTTTTTCTTTTTAATTTAGAAAATGATGGAAGATTATGGATTCAAAACTTTTTCAGTATATTATTTGTGAAATGGTCATTTCGTAAAAACATAATGATTGCGTTGATTTTTTTTCATCATACTTCCTCTGTGGAATGTCAAAAAATATTGTTTAATAAAAAACCATGGTGAATTCATCAAGAATGCAAGTTCAAAGGCAAATATTTGAAATGTTAATGCAAAAAGTTGAAAAATTATTTAAGACCTGCTTTTCACTATAAAAAATTTATTTCAGTAAAAGCTTAATTTTCCCAATTATTTAGATAACTTAAGTAATCCTTAAAAGTTGTATCTCAGATTAAAAAAATAATTTTTGAATGTTTTTTATTATTAATTTATAAGGTTTTACAAAAAATCTTAAATTATATTTGTGCATATCCTCTTTCTTCCCATGTCTCTACCCCCCTCCCCCTTTATCTTGTAAATAGAAGGCGATGTAAGTTTAAAGGTTTTCTGAATAGTAGGCGGGGATACAATAATGTTGATTGATGGATGGAGAATACTCCAGAGCCGGGATCGTCTAATCCGTACTTTTTACAAACATATGACGTCTCCGACTGTGTACGTCCTTAGTACGGTGAAATACGACCTCTGTCGGTCAATACAAATGGAAAAGGTAGTAATATTAGATTATATGCCGCAAGTGAGACATTTTGCGGCCAAACGCTTTATATGAGTACGGAGACATACAAAGTACGAGATAAAGACATTTGTTAACTTCAGAAGATCCGGACTCAGGGTTGAGTTTATATAGGGAAGGATTAGGGTCCGGAGAAGGAGGGAGGAGCCTACATGTCAGTTTTTTTTTATTAAAACAATGAATACGCTGCATACTGTATACTGAGGGTAACTTTGGGATAAAAGAGGAGAGTTGAATAGTGTTAGGTTCAACCAACTTATAAACTCGGAAAATAAAAATAATTACTTTTTCCAAAAAAGTATTTGTAAGAATATGATCGTTTACAAAGATTTTTTCAATTAATTATCTCTTATATGTTGAACCTATTCCTCCCCAGGTATTCTTATTCCTCCTCTGGTAGTTCTATTCCTCCCCTGGTATTCATTTTCCTCCCATGATATTCCTATTCCTCTCCTGGTATTATTATTCCTCCCCTGGTATTCCTATTCCTCCCCTGGTATTCCTATTCCTCCCTGGTATTCCTTTTCCTCCCCTGGTATTCCTATTCCTCCCCTGGTATTTCTATTCCTCCCCTGGTATTCCTATTCCTCCCCTGGTATTCATTTTCCTCCCCTGGTATTCCTATTCCTCCCCTGGTATTCCTATTCCTCCCCTGGTATTCCTATTCCTCCCCTGGTATTCCTATTCCTCCCCTGGTATTCCTATTCCTACCCTGGTAATCCTATTCCTATTCCTCCCCTGGTATTCCTATACCTCCCATGGTATTCCTATTCCTCCCCTGGTATTCCTATTCCTCCCCTGGTATTCCTATTCCTCCCCTGGTATTCCTATACCTCCCCTGGTATTCCTATTCCTCCCCTGGTATTCCTATTCCTCCCCTGGTATTCCTATTCTTCCCCTGGTATTCCTACTCCTCTCCTGGTATTCCTATTCCTCCCCTGGTATTCCTATTCCTCCCCTCTATTCTCCAATTCTTCAAATAATTGTCTGACCTTGAATTTAATGAAGACCTGTAAAATCTATTGTTGTTAGATTGGAATAGAATTCGTTTCGAGATTAATCCTGGAGAGGGACTGTAGACGGAATTTCAAGCGACCCTCCATTTATAGAGCGGCGCATCCGATTCACAAAAGTAATTATTTTCAATTGTGGGTTCTCTATGAAAGTGATTTGCGGATTTATGCTACATAAAAAAGTAAGCAAATCCTAGTATTTAACACTTTACCAGCTAAAAACATGACGATATCTTCCACATTATTGATGAGATACAGGTTTAAAGGATAAATTGGAGATGGTCCTCTATAAACGGAGGGTCACTTGAAATTGCTGTGATATTCCCTTTAATTCTCAAGTTTTCTTCTACCTTACAGTTTATTACAATATTTTCTTCACACCCTCCAAACTTGTAAAAAAAAAACTAAACAAAAAAAGTCAACTTTTTACCAGAAGTGTATTCTATACATACAGGGTTTCTTCTCAATAATCCGAATCATTTGACCCTCCTCCTCATAACCATGCAGGCTGAAAAATCAGACAAACAAGACACGGTCCCAATTCAATCTTTTAAAGGGCATTAAAAGCCTCCAAAAAAATCATCGCCTTTATTTTGATACCTAGATATTGCGTCTTAAGCCAAGGACTAGGAAGAAAAGAACTATGTAAGAAGTGTTCAAATTACTATAGTTTATAATAGGCATAATCTGACCGTGGTGTGACGTGAGGCTAGTGTTTTCTAAAAGATCGGATGCTAAGGCTCGGATAATCAAAGAGGAGGGTGCTGTGGCTCGGACAATCGAAAAGGAAGGATGCTGTGGCTCGGATAATCTGAAAAGGAGGGTGCTGTGGCTCAGAGGGTTCGACAATCAGTTCAGGTGCTTTGAAAAAAGACGAGAACTTAAACATTTTCGTGCATGATGATATTTTTTGGTAGCACTAGATTAGGACGGAGTTTAGGGACCGTTGAAAAATTCTCTGCCGGAAATTTCGGATTTGCCATTTGGGGATTTAATTGTGGGGAAAATAAACAATTACCATTTTGACAGTTGGTGGATTAATACAATTTACGAAATTTTTAATTGAAGTATAAACCATTCAAAACCCTTTAGTATTGATATTTATTTGGTTTAGATTAAGGCATAATATATACTGTTATTCGCAGTGGTTTGAAGATTCATAAATGTATGCTAATATCCAGGACCCCTGCTGGGTACAAGGGAGCAAATACAAGACGGTAGCTGATACCCGTGTCTAATCTCCATGAACC